GGCTGCGGGGCCAGCGGGGGCTCCGCCGGGGATGGCTGCCAGGGCTGCGGGGGAGGCCGTGCGGGAAAGGGAAGGGGATGGATGTCGGGTGAGTCAGACCCCCCCGAACCGCCCTGCAGGGACTTCCGAAGGAAGGATGCCGCGGGGAGCCGGGGGCATTGCCAGCTGCCAGGAATTCTCCCAGTGCAGGGCCAGCGCTTATCCCAGCTTGGTCATGAGCCGGGCAGATGCAGGAGAGCAAATGCTGCATTTATCCATGGGGATGGGGAGCTGGGGGTGGCAGAGCTCATCCTGTGTATCCCTCTGCCCCAGGGATGCTGCAACTCTGCTCATCCCACAGTAACATGAGCAGGTCCTCACTGGTGGGACCTGTGGGTGCAGAGACAGGCACCATGGGGCCTCTCTGCTGCTCTGCCCCCCAGCCCACCCACCACACACTGCTTGTGGCCACTGAAACAGAGAGACAGCTTCTTTATGTGACTTGTACAGTGTCACCCTGGAGCTGGAAAGTTTTCCCAGGGCTGTGTCCACTAACCCCCATTTGCTGTCATAGCTGGGGAGGGGGAAAGTGGGGTGTCCCAGGGGAGGGCATCCCCTGACTCACAGCCCAGAAAAGCCCAGGCTGGGAGAAGGCTGAACCCGGGGTCCTGGAGACAGTGAATAACCCACAGCATTTAACTGGAGATGGCTCATCACACCAGCTGTGTGTCACTGCACTGTCACTTGCTGAGTCATGAGCCACAATGGGGCCAGTAGGACTTCACAGGGGGGACATGAGGAGATACAAAGGGATGGAGACAGATCCCAGGCCCAGGGACAGCTGCTCTTCCACATAGAGGATTCAAGTGGGACCCTCTTGTCCCTCTCCCAAAGGTCCCCATCCCCTTGTTTGTCTCTGTCTGATACCTTGAACTTGGGCAGGGGCTTGGTGAGAGCACAAAGCTTTTGAAGCAAGAGGTAAGTCCACCAGCATGATGGTCCCTCCCCACACACCATGCAGGGTTCAGCATCCAGCAGCAAGCTCTGCTCTGGACTCCCTCCACTTTGTGACCTGTGGGATCCTGGTGGGTTGGGACCTTTCCCTGAGAACGTGGGAGCGAGATGCTGGAGTGAGCCTGGGGCTGGCGACCCGTTATCATAGGAGACAGGAGGCAGCCCTGGGCTGCTCTCAAGTGGTCCTGGCTGATTACTGACTTCAAGTGCCTAACGAGTTATTCTAAGTCAAGTAGGTGTGAAGGGAGCCGACCTGGGACCTGCGAGAGCAGCACCGGGCTTTGCTGGGGCATCCCCCATCGCCTCTGCTCCCCCCAGGCCCTCTGAGGCAGGGAGATGTCCCCCCCTCCTGTCCCTTACTCGTCCTGCAAAAGGCTGTTTGCTCCAGCCCAAAGCAAACCTGATTTTATCTCCCGACTCCAGTTCCCTTGGCTGTGGGCCATGGTCGATGCCTCCCACGCAGAACTTGTGAAGCCCATTCGGGGACCCGCGCACAGAGCGGGCTGTGTACACTGCCACATGACATCATGTTTACAGCCTGCAGGGGCCCAAGGACACCCCTCCCAGCAGCATCACTCCCAGCCCGCACAATGTGTGTCCTTCCTGTGGCTGGACAGATGGACATGTGGGGAGCTGAAGGGAGCAGGACTGGCTGGCCACAGTGTCCTGCCTGCCAGGAGATGGGTGGTTTCAGCTTTGCTGCACTGCGAGACAGTCCCCCTTGGCCTCAGTTTCCCCTCTGGGCAGTGGAGAGCGAATCCTGTGCTAGTCATGAGGGTGAACTGCTCCAGTGACATAAGGTCAGGACCTCAAGTTTTTGCAGAGACAGAAAGGCAAATTTTTTTCCCCTTGGGACATGGATGTTCCCTTCTCTCCCAGGACAGAGCTGGGCTTTTTCTGTTGCTGCACGAAACTGAGATTGTTGGGAAAGAGCAACAGTGTCCAGAGCCACAGAGGCTCCCTAAGGAGTGCTCAGGGCATCCTTTCTCCCGTCTGTCCATCCATCCATCCATCCATCCATCCATCCATCCATCCATCCATCCACACTTGCACGCATCTCACTATCTCACAGCCATCTCCCCATCCATCTACTGAGCTTCCTGCACACTCACCCATCCATCCATCAACAAACGCATGCATCACTCTTCCTATCTATCCCCACACCTATCTGCCCATCCATCCAGCAGGCCACCCACTCAATCCATCTGTCCATCCACCCATCCATCACCTTTGTGTTGGTGCTTGAGTGATGCCCAGCCACCGAACAGCCCTCCTCTGGGGGTACAGTGTATGTCCATGCATGTGCGCGTGTGTGCATGGGCCGTGCAGGACATGCAGAGCACTGTGGGTAGGGGTGGCCTGGGCTGTGTCCGGCCATGGGACAGGGGCTGGGAGCACCAGCCAGGGGGAGGCAGGGACCTGTCTAATTTAAGAACAGGCCCCGTGGTCGCTGTCAGCGCCGGGCGGCTCTGATCTGGGGACAGGTCCTCATCAACTCCTCTCGCCGCCTGCCGGCCCGACATGAAAGGGCTCTGTGCCCCGATAAGGCCCCAGACACTCAGCCCCAGAGGTGGGCAGTGCTTTGGCCAAGCCTGGGGGACCCCTAAGCAGAGAACCCTAGCACAGCTGCCCCCAAATTCACCGTCACCCCAGTGTCATGAAGTTAGTGTATTTGCACCAGTCAGAGTACAGCCCTGGGGCTGCTTTCTGCTTTGGGCACCTGTGTCACCACCAGCTCCCACCGGTGACACAACCCCCAGGAGGGCTCTGTTCCCAGCATCCCCCCAGCTGCCACCAGCCCCTTTGCCAGCTGTTACCCTGCACTGGAGTCCCCTGGCTGCAAGCGGCCGTGGA